CAAAAAATAACTGGATAATTTAATGCAGGAAAGGTCAATCAATGGCATTTAACCAGGATGGACAGGGCAGGTGTCCCAAGCTGGTGTATTCTAGAAGCTAGGAATGGACAACAGGAAGGATCACTTAACAATTGTCTGTTCTGAGGTTTCCTACTGGGCAATGAAATCGGCTGCTGTCATGGGACAGGATCCCGGGCTAGATGGACAGCTGGCATGGCCCAGTCTGGCTGCTTTGATGTTCTGTTTGGTTTCTGTTCTTGTCCCCTGGGAAATGGAAAATGGACCCCTGTCCTGAAGGGGAAAGAAAATGGCCTGTGAAAGGCTAATGTAGGTAAAGAAAAAGGCATCTTTATGTGTCCCTGATGGTCTAGTGGTTAGGATTCAGCACTTTCACTGCTGAGGCCTGGGTTTAATCCCCAGTCAGGGAAACCAGCATCAATTTTCACATGATAGTTGTTTACTCATTCATCTCATCTCATTGTTACAGCAGCTGTGGCCCAAGGGGTTCACTCAGGGCCCCTTTCCCACCTCTCCCTCACTGCCAAGACAGCACCTGCCATTTTCACAAGCCCTTCAGAAGGGCCAGAGCTGGTGACTCAAACGGTCCCTCCCCTCTCCCATGTGGGCAGCCCTGCAGGAAGCTCTGTGGCGCACACAGCACTAGCCCAGCACAGTGTCAGGTCCGCACAAGATCTATTGGTTTGCTTTTGTTGTTGGAGGAGACAACCCAGAACTGGCTCCAGCCCTCACTCAGTAACCTGGGGAAATGACCCACCAGGCCTGGGCCCCTCGGAGAGGCAACGATTCCCCACTGGACAGGGCAGAGCCTCCCTCTGACACAGTCATGGAGCCTTCTCCCCCTGGGCCTGCCTCCCCCTTCACTCAGCTCTCACTGCTTGGTGCTGCCAGGGAGGGGCCTCACTGCTGGAGCCGCCTGGGCAGGTTCCTGCCACAAAGACAGGTCCCAGAGCAGGATGGATGCTCAGACCGACACTGAGTGTTGCTCAGCGCTGGGGTGAGACAGGGAAGGACAAAAAGGTCTAACGGCACCTGCAGCCTTTCAGAACAGCCCCCGGCCCCACCCCAAGTACCAGCCCTTCCGTCTGCCCTCGCTGGGCTCCACTGGGCACTGCCGGGACTCAGGCCTCCCCAGTGCCAGCCAAAGGGCTCTGGAGAAGACAGGGCAGCTCCATGGGCAGAGTCCTGAGACCCTGGCTGGGCAGGGCTCATTAAGCAGCTGGGGAGGGCTGGGATGCTGCACAGCTTAGGGCTTTCATGGGCAATCACTTTTGATGGGGAACTGCTCCCAGGGCTGCACTTTTCCATGCTATTAATGGAGGAGGTGGGGGTCTGTTATGGAGGCTGGTGCAGACAGGAGCTTGGGGCAGAAGACTGGGGTGCAGGAACAGTTGCAGGGGGTGGGGTTGTGACCTGGGGCAGAGGGTTGGGGTGCAGGATCTGGGAGGGGTGTGGATTCAGGGGGGCAGAAGGTTTGGTTTATGTGGGGTACCATATAAGGATTGAGGGAAAGGAGGGCCTGGGGTGCGAGAGACAGGCTCTGGCTGGGAGAGTTACCTGGCTCACTCACGGCCAGCAGTTCAGCACATTTCTCAGGCAGCCTGGCCTGCCCCTGCACAGGCTCCCAACCTCCTTTAGCCAATAAGCTGAGGGGCTGCAAAAGGCCCTTGTGATGTCACTGCCACACCCACCCCTGCCCTCCAGGGCTAATGTCCTGCCCCAGGCAGCCCCTTTGCATGGCTGAGCTGTTCCCAGGGGTGAAAGTGACACATTTCTTACAGGGACTGTTCTATTGGGCACCACTCCTTGTGCTGGGGGAGGCTCAAGGCAGAAACCAGGGGGGTTTCAGTGAAGCTACATGTGAATGGATCCATCTAGCAACCACTGCCAGCCACACGGACAGGGGGAGGTTTTTGTGCAAGCACAACATGCAGTGGAGACGTACTGGGAGAGAAGAAGCAGGCCCAAAGGGGGCAGTGCATCAGGTGCCAAAGTAGCTCAATGGGGAGTGCATTAGACTGAAGATTTAAAGGTCCCTTGTTCAATCCCAAGCTTTGGTAAAAGCCTTTGTTCTTGAGGCTTATCCCTTCTTTGGCTCTTCTGTGAAGGAGGTTTTTGTTCAAGTGCAACATGCAGTGCAGACATATGTTGTAGGGGCTAGGTGGGACAGCCAAAAGTGTCAGGTGCCAAAGTAGCTCAGTGGGTAGAATGTTAGACTGAAGATCTAAAGGCCCCTGGTTCAATCCCAGGCTTTGGCAAAAGCCTTTGTTCTTGAGGCTTGTCCCTTCTTTGGCTCCTCTGTGAATAGCCCAGCTGTGCCTCCTGGAAGGGCCTTGTCTGCCCTGTTGCTCCACCTAGGAGCCAGCAAGTCCTGCCCCTCCGCTGCCAGGGAAGGGAAAAGGAGCTCTCCTTAGAGCAGCATCAAGCCAGCCCCCTAAGAACACCTGCCCTTGTTCTGCCAGCTGAGCTATTGAAGCTCCTCTCTCCCTGCTGCTTTGTCCATCCTGGCAGGAACAGAATCTGGGACTCACCCAATCAGGCCGGTGCCCAGTAACCCCAGACAGACGTGCACATCCGCACGCTGGCAGCAGCTGTTGTGGGACTCTGCAAATCCATCACTAGCCCTAATTCCCCACATGCCAGGCAGCCCAAGGGAGGGCTCTGGGGTCTCAAGCAAACAGAGTCTCAGGTAGGTGGTGGAGGCTCTCAGCAAACTGCACTCTCAGGGCACAGGGGGAGTTTGGGGTCTTGTTGCTGGGCCATGGGGTGAAGCAGCAAACCAGCCCCCTCCTGTGGGGCCTGTGAGTGTTGTAGAATCTGGGCCCTTCCACTTGGCAACAGCAAACAAAAGATCTGGGGGCCACACAGAGACATTAACTGTTGTTGCACTCACAGGTCGTGCCCATGCTGGGCCCCGGCAGCCCCCCAGCCAAAGGTCTGGGGGCCACACAGAGACCCTGCTGGGCTGAGCAGGAAGTGGCTGGGACTTCACTTTGTCTTTGCCTGTGGGCTTGGCTGTCTGCAGCCTGGGAACCTCCTGGCTCCTCAGACCACTGGTCTAGATGGAGCTTTACAGAAGTTGGAATAATGGAATTGCTGTGTAGACGCTCCCATTGTTATTGCAGTATAACAGCCGTTATAGATGCAGCCTAAGAGAAACCTTAAGCAAGCACATCTACGACGGCAGGGGAGACATCAAAATCAGTTCACTTCTCTCAACAGAAGGTGCCAGGAGTGGGATTTTAACCCACGCTTCCATTTAGAAACCAGCACACCCCACTAGGGGAAAGACAGTAGCTTGAGTCTGGTGTTTCAGACCACTCAGCTATCCTGACACACATGCTGGTGTCTTCAACTGAAGTTTTCTTATATGTGTGAGTAGCTTAGGGTGGACAAAGGGTTAGGTGTGAGTAGCTTAGGGTGGACAAAGGGGACCCTCTTTTTTAGAGGCGGCGGGAGCACCTCTCTTTCCCCATCTAACAGCTGCTCTACAGCACAGCTGGGTTTATCCACAGTCACCCTCACTCACCGGTGTGAGGTGTTTTGAAGGGAGCTTCTTGCATGAGTAATATGCAAATGAGGCTAAATGTGGAATATTGCCGAGCCTCATTTGCATAGCCACCATATTTGCGGAAGAAGCTCTTGCACCAGAAGGAGCTGTCTACACTGCCCTTTCTAGCACAACGAAAACCCTCTTGCGCAATGCTGTTACGCCGATTATTTTCAGGCCATCACAAGGGCCTTTTGCAGCCCCTCAGCTTATTGGACTAAACGAGGTTGGGAGGTGGTGACCTCATAGCGAGTCCATGACAGTGTCCAGGTGGGAAAGGCAGCAGGGCAGGGGCCCACTCAGAAATGCCCCCGACTTTGCTGCAGGGAATCTCCTTGCAATCTGTCCTTGAGGCCAGAGAGAGAATGAGGGTCCCAAGCACGAGTGTGAGGAGGAGCCTTGTTGGAGCCTTCTCCTTTCCCAGGATTGACTGACCTGGAAGACAGATGTCCCTGTGGAGAAGGGCAGTCACCAAGAGGTTTGGTGCTTGCATAGCAGAGGAATTAGCTCAAGTGGTAAAGCATTTGCTTAGCATGTGAGAGGCAGTAGGATTGATACATATGTTCTCCAATGGTGCGTGGTCCCTATTTTTTTCACAAGCAGAGACATCTAGAGGGCAAAGAGCCTCCAGTGGCCCCTCTCTCTTCCTATTCACTCATCTCAAAAGTCAGCCACGGCTTAGTTCCTAATCTGTAAACCTCACTGCATGAGGGATAACGCCTCTTCTGAAATATAGGGATAACACCTCTTCCGAAATAGCTATTTTGAAATAGTGGTAGTGTGGATGCTCCACTGCTGCTATTTCAAAAAAGTTCCTGCCCAGGGCCATTCAAAGTCATTACTCCCCAGTGCCTCTTGTGGCTCTAAGTTGAGGTAGAGCAACCACTGGCGGCTTCTTGTGCAACAACTCTTTTGCAGAATAGTTCTTGTGCAAAAGGTCTTGCACAAGAAAGCGTTCACACTGCCATGTGCTTTTGTGCAAGAGATGTGCTCTTCCGCAAGAGCATCCACGGCAGTGGACACTCTCTTGCGCAAGAAAGCACTGATGGTCATTTCAGATAGGGGCTTCTTGCACAAGAAATTAATGTTGCCTGCCAATACTGCCCTCTTGTGGAAGAGCTCTTGCACAAGAGGGTTTATTCCTCATGGGGAGAGGAATAATTATTCCGGAAGAAGACCTGTTTTCTGATGCTATACTGTAAATTTACTTGCACAAGAACATGCATGCAGTATAGACACTCTGCAAGTTTTTGTGCAAAATGCCTGCAGCGTAGACGTAACCCCAGAGATGGATTGCAGCAGAAATCTCCACCTGAGTGAAGGCATGGCCTAATGGTGCAATTAGTTAGATATCCACACTAACAGACCCACTGCTGGTAACTCACAGAGGCCCTTGTTGCCCTAGGAAGGGGTGTGGCCAAAACACAGGCCTCACTGTGATCAGGATTTGAACCTGTGCAGGGAAAGACTATTGGATTACAAGTCTAACACCTTATCCACTAGGCCATCACAGCTGTGTATAATGGGGGACTAGGGAAACTGGTAAATAATTCCAGTGCACAGTCCTAGTCACCTGCCATAGAATTCACACAGCAAACCATTTCAACAGCTGTGCAGAGGAGTTCTGGCTGTTCTCGTCTTAGGATGCCTTGGAGGTGAGTTCTGCTTCAAGGTCTTCTCTCCTCCTCCTTGGTCTTCCTTTCCCTTTTCCTTCCTCTTCTCTTCTCCCCTTTTCCTTCTTCTTGCTGGTCTCCTTCTTGGACCCCAGTTTATATAGAGAAACTCAATACTGCTTAGTTCTTCCTTAACCAATTATTTTAGTATAATTTCACTAACCAAACATAACATACTGTAACAGAATTACCTAACCAATCATACCCCACCGCCTTAGTTGATTTACACCTAGCAAAATCAATTATACAGCAGACAGAAACAGATCCAAACCAGACTATCACACAGACAAACAATAGGACAAGAATCATAGAATGCCCATTGCACAACCACAACTATTGGTAAGCAGTCTTTTGCCAGACAAAATGCTGGTAATTACGTTTTCTCTACTCACCTTGAGATCTGTTTCCTGCCTGGTGACAGTGGGTGCCACTAGGATAAGACACTTTCTCACAGCCTAGTGTGACACTATTTCAATGTCATTTAG